TACATACTGTCTTGGGTTTTTTAAACTTAACCAAGTAATAAATATAGGTGATTGATCAAAGATTATTACCAGGTGCAAGACTACAGAAGGGTTGATTGAGACTGGTGGCACAGGTTTTTTTCTCTGGCCAAATGATTTGTGACACCTAATGGACGTTCTTTCATTAATGTTCAGAGTTGAGAGGTGGGAGGTGTAGGCTTTCTCCCTAAATCTAATCCATGTAGGTAAAGAGGAATGCAAAAGAAACAAGTGTGTTGTGCTTTGTCCACAGGTAGCTTCCCGAGCTTTTCTAGTAGACCATGAGATTGGAGGGTATCAGATTTTAGCTTGCTTTGTAATGTAAGCATCCATATATATTTGCTAGCTGTGACTAAATTTGGCTAAACAACTTTCTGCGTTATTGATGGGCTAAATAGCCTTATAAGAAATATATTATTTTGTTATGCTTTTCTTGGAGTTTAAGATCTCTATTATTCAAACCAAAGAGATGTTAAGAAAAATACTTTTGGTTACTAAATGATAGTACTTTCTATATGTACTGTGTGTGCCAATCACTAAATGGTATTAATGGAGGAAAAGAAAATCCATTCACTGCCCAACAGAGAGCTTACCCCATATTTTTCTTGAAATTATTTTAAACAATTTAGGTTTTAAATGAAATTTCAATTAGAGTTTCTTCTCTGATTTTTTTTCTTGCCCCAGGGATTTAATGATTCAAAGGAAAGTTGTTTTTATTTTAAATCCGATTTCAAAACCGCAGAAAAATGCTTGAGTATTTCCTCCGTTTTTCTTTTCCCCTGTTTCTTCTTCTTGATGTAGAGTGAAGGGAGTTCAGAAATGTTCTTAGAGCTTCCAATCTGACAGAGGATGCAGAGGTTGTTCATGCATACAAGTTACCAAGGACAAGTGAGGTTGTGAGGATACAGCAGAACCCCTGCAACCTCTTTATTGCTCTTACTCTAGAATAAGCAATTGTGCAAAGAGTTACTACAGAGATGTAAGCTAACCCTTCATGTTAGCCTACCCTGAAGGTTTTGTCTCTATCATTACAATGTGAAAGCAAATACAAATTCTTCATGGTAGTGCAGTCAGTGTCAGTAAAAATGAAGTGAGATTGTTTCCATTTGTTTTAGTTTCAAAGCTTTCATTTCATTCCAAGTATTTCCATGAAGGAAGGCTTTGGTTGAACAGCATTTGCAAAGTTAAATGTATTAGCTTCAGTGTGGAATGACTCCATGAGCAACATCAGCAAGGACAGGTGTACAGGTTGTAGAAATGAAACTATGTAATTATTTAGGTTGCTGAAAGGACTGGGTAGAGAAAGATACAGTTCCTGGTATCTGTATTATGGTCACTTTGACATGGTGAGCATTATTAAATGTTTTTACCTCCTGACCCATTCATGGTAAAACCAATCTCAGATTTTCTCACACATATTCATACTGCTTTGTACATCACATCATCCTTTTTCACCTTTTCTGCTTTTACATTTACAGATGAAGTAGCTGGTGGCTCCTGTATTTTGCTGGTCCTGTTGTGCATAGCAACTGTTTTCCTTAGCATTGGAGGAACTGCATTGTACTGCACCTTTGGTGACATGGAATCCCCTGTGTGTACAGATTTTGCAGCCAACATGGATTTCTATTATACCCAGATATTGCAGCGTATGGAAGAACTTAAACACTGGATAGCCTTCTCATAGCTGAAATGAGCGGAGACAGCACATTAAGAGATCACCAGTGGTTACTGGAGATGGTAGAAAAAAAATGTGATTTCAAGTTCTCTAATGCTTGCCGCCTGCAGGTGGTGTGTATTTGATGATGTACTTAGACTTCTACTTAGAAATCAAGAAAATTCTAGTTTAGCAATCAGGTGGCAAAATGTTCACATCTGTTCACAATTGTAGCAGTGTGGTATGGGAGAATAAGAAGTTATTCTCGTCACCCTTTTGAGAGTAGGCAAGTAGCTTTTCAACAACTTGAGCAAGTAAAGAAGAAAGAAGAAAATCAACTGTCTTCTGCTCTCCCATTGCCACACATTGTGTAAGCAATCTCTGGAAGCTTAGTAAAAGACAGCTTTAATTTACGGCTGTTTGTGCAAAGGTGTTGCCTCCAGCTATCATGCAATAAGTCTGTGTTTTATGGAAACATTGTTTTTATTCTAAGTCTTACTATTCTTCTCCATTACTTTTCTCCATTTTAATTCTCCTGGTGAGCCATGTAATTACTTGGGTGGAGTGAGAAAAGTGCAGCAGCGTTCACAGAGCCCTCATTTGGTGATTAACAGGCTGACCCTGTATCTTACAGCTTAAGGTGGATATCATGAGTGGGATAACTCTGCTGGCAGACTTCACTAGATTTCCTGGAACTTTACTCCCAGTATTGTGGGGGCTGTTTGAGAAATGGAAGGTTAAAAATAAATCATTGGTCTCACTAAACACAGAAACAAAAGTAAGATGTTTACTAAATTATTCATGTTAAAGTGGCTTTGGCCAATTTTAAAGCACCTGGTAGTAGGTGTGGGGCTAACTGTCCAGGTATGTCACTGACTTGGAGTAATCACTTTGTGCCTCAGTTTCTCCTCTGTAAACAGGGAATAATGATCCTTGCCTTTATGAATATTTACTGCGGTTAGGGCTCATGTCTGATTCATCCCAGATGAGTGCACAGGATCACTGAACTGTGTGGCTGCGGCCTCTCTCAGTGAGTGAATGCTGATGTAAAGTGGAACTTAACCAACAGGAGAGATTCAGAGGCTCACTGCAGATCCGCAGCATGGTAGTAGTCCAGGGCACTCAGTCCAGCAGATATAACACATTTACATCTATTTGCCCTGCAGTTCCGAGACCTGTGTTGCAAAATCTGTTCTTTTTCTATCAACTATACAGATTTGAATGAGTACAAAGAGTCGTTTTGAATGGGTAATATTGTCACTTGGTGCTTATCCCTCCCTGTGTGGTATGTGAGGGGAACACTGACATGACTGTGAAGGTGAGAATTAGATACACAGGGCTTTGGCCCACACTCTGGTCAAAATGTGGCAACTGTTCTTGTACAGAGCACAGTGTCCCAGCCCTGCTGAGGGCGTTAGTGTGAAACAATTCCTTTACACCTCAGGAAACAGCATTTTTGAGGGTCCACTTTGCTCCACTCTGTGATTCCCTGCTTACTAACGTTGTACAATGCAGTGTGTTCAGGTTTAGAATATTATTTTGTAAAATACAATGAAATGAAATCTTCAAGATATGGCTCAGAATAATAACATTAAATGATCATGCTTTCTGGCATATGTGAGCAGATTGTCCCTCTAGTGAGCTTCATTGTTCCTAATGCACTGTTATACTTCACGGGTTTTTTTAAAGTGAAAGTTAAAATCACTTTTTTCTTTTTTCCTAGAATAAATGGCATGTATGATTTGTCTTCTTGTTTTCACTGTGGAGGCTTAGTTTATCTGTACCTTAGGGAGCCTCCTGTGCAGCTTTATATTAAACTAGCAAATTTTAAATGCCCATATTAATGAAACTTTTACTTTCAGAATGAAACTTGAGAACAGTAGTTTGGTATATTTTTTGTTTGTTGTCCTCAGAGTATTATAATGTTGGGCTGATCTAAAGGAGAAAGGGAAAGACAGTTTCGTATTTTAAAGTGTTACTGGCTGGTTCAGTTTATTATTTGAAGTCTGGGTTTGTTTATTTATTCAGTTTTTCTTTTAAAGAGAATCTTATTTTTCTTTTTTGGTTATTTACTCACAGAGTAATTAAAGCATGCATTCAGTTAAAATATGTATTTATGGTGACTGTGTAGTTAGAATATATTTTGGGTTTCTGTAACTTTGCATTGAGTGTTTCAGGATATTAAGTTTATTCCTAGAAAGACAACTCTTGATATCAGCTTAGATAAAAATTTTAAGCTTTTGTGCACTTCATCACCAAAAAGATCAAGAGGTATATATAGAACTATTTATTCAAAAGTATATCAGATATGGATATTAAAGATCCTCTACTTCTAGGTTCATTTCATTAAGACTATTTTAAAATACTTATTTTATTTAAAACTGTAAAGCTATTTAAAGTCAAAGTGATTTTTAATAAGCAGTTCAGTTTAAAATCAGTGGTCCAAATCCTGGTATGTCCACTTTGTGCTATATTCCCAGTGCAAAGACTCACTAGCATCATCAGAACTGCCTACAAAGAAGATCATGATGAGGCTGAGCACCACTTTACCAACTTGTACCTGATGAAGAATGAACAGCCAGGTGTCTCTGTAACTCAGCTACCTTACACTTGTGTTGTAAGTTGGAGCATCTCTCCAGCCTTCCTAACTATGCCAAGGTACCACATGTGCACAGTCTCTCAGGATTTGAGGGAGCAGAAGGGGCACATGTGCACAGGCTGCCCAGCTCCTGATCTGAGCTGCTCACTCCTCAGTTGCAACCAAGTGGTTGAATCTGGATCTAATTTCTGTTGGCATTACTTTATAAAAAGCTGATGGTACTAACTCTTGCTTTCTGTGACAATTCTCTTGGATTGCTGGTGACATTGCTTCTGCCTGAGTTACCTGAGGGGTTAGGATCTTACCGTCAGGTAAATTCAAACTGAAAGAAATAGTTGAAGTTACTTCTCTTGTCTGAGCATTTTGAGGTAAAATAATCCTGAGCAACAACTAAGATTGTTATAAGGAGGAAGAAAACGGAGGAAAAAAAGGCTTCCTACCCACCCCATCCATTTTAAAGCCTTTTGCATATAAGTATTTATTCTTTTTCCTTCCCTGCCACTGTCTTTATGACTGTTCTGCTTAGCAGTAGGGCTGGCATACTATGCTGGCATACAACAATTTATAGTTGGTAGGAAAATTCAGGGAATACTTCAGTACTTGACAGTAGTTGAAAGTAATTTCTTAAAATATGACCAGATTTCAGGCTTATACTGTACCCTCAAAGAAGTTGTGGCCACTTAATCACATGCAGCACTCTACTAGAAACCTTCAGTTTATTCTTTGAGCATAATTATTTTGAAAAGATTCTCATGAAAACCAACAAGATTCAGCATATGCTGCCAGAAGGAGCTTTCTGATGACATGATAAACACCCTCACCCCAGATAGCCTGGATTACACCAAGAAAAGCACTGTACTGTAGCATAGTCATACTATACTACAGGTTTGTTTTCTAAACAGTGTCAGTAAGGAAGCAGATATCCCACAGCCCAAATATGCCAGCAGAAGTTTGTGATCTAGATACAGCCCATGTTTTAAAATTTTCCAAATGTCTTTGCCTTCATACCTGAAAAATGCGTAGCCCTGGTGACAAGCAGTAGGAAGTAGTCTGACAGAAAGGGAAACCCTTTTTAGGGTTTTCAAGAGTAGAGGGCAAGCTTGAACTATGAAAGAAGCAGAGTAGATTGGAAGTCTAGATTCTTGTGTGACAGGGGACTATTCCACTCAGTAACCTAAAGGGATGTTACTCTCCTAAGAAAACACATTTGCCTACTGTAATGTAAAAACCAAGAGCATCTGAAAGGACTAATTATTTGTAACAAATTCAACTTCAGCTTCCTTTAACAAAAGGAGTAAATAATTGTGTTTGAAACCATCACCCAAGCTTGTAATTTAAATACTGTAGCAAAAAAATAAAAAAATAAAAACTGTCCCAAAGAAAGTACATGAACCGTTTTGGGTACCGTGATTTCTAAATGTATAAAGAGACTGAGAAATTTTCTGTGAAATTCAAGTAAATGAGCAGTACCTCCAATAAGAATTTCATGGTCAAACCCAAACCAGAATGGAAAATGAAGATAAAATGCCTAAAGTTTGGTTTGTTTTTTGGTGTAATGTAGTTTTTCTGAGGGAGGGGTGTGGTCTGTCTTTGTTTTTTAATAAGGTAATTCAGTTAGGAGTGGACCTCAGGAAGTCCTTAACCTTCTGTTCAAGGCAGGGTCAACTGAGATCAGACCTAATTGCTCAGGCCTTTGTCCAGTCAGCTTTTGAAACCCTCCAAGGATGGAGACTGCACAACCTCGCTGGGCATATTCCACTGCTTGGCTGTCCTCAGGTGAAAAAGTTACTCTTCATATCCAGTCTGAACCTCTATTTCAGTTTGTTGTCTCTGATCCTCCTGACTTGCACTGCTGTGAAGAGCTTCTTAGTAACCTTCTCTGGAAGGCTGCTACTAGGTCCCCTAAAGCCACCTCCTCTCCAGGCTAAACACTGTGTTTTCTAGCAGTGTCCTTTTCATCCTTCTTACTTCCTTGTCCACAGCATCTTCCCTCCTGATAGAGATCCAACATTCTCCTGTTAGAATAGAGATCCTGTATGCTTCTCCCTTTCCTCTTCCACCTTACACTCAAAATTAAGATTTTAAAATCAGTAATGAGGCCACAACAAAACTGAAATAGCAGTGACAACTACTATTACATTAAAAACTATCCATGACTCACTGATTCCTTAGTGATTTCAGAACTAATGCTGATTCTCGTACTACTCTTTAGCAGCTGGTGTCTGAAGGATCACATGCTGACTTCCATGTGCCTTCATGAAATAATCTAATTCTCTAAAATAGTTACCCAAGGAAGCCCAAAGTATTTAACTATAAAGTCCTTTTGTAAAAAATGATTTTTTTAGACATTGCTTCTTTGCAGCTCTTTTATGTCATTTGTTATTTGTATTACTTTGAATTAAATGTTGTGGTAATTCTTCTTTCGCATAAC